TTCTACCCTTCCAGTCCCAAAGTTATTTTGTAATTTTGTTTTTTGGCTTTAAAAATGACCATCAAACTTGACTTCAGTAGAATTTTCACAATCTATGTGACAGAAATCAAACAAATATACTTAAAGTTACTTAAAGTTGTGTTACTATATTATGGGCTATTTTTAATTGATAGGATAAATGCATTTATATTTTCTTTCTCAGGCCATTGATATGTCTAATATGTGGAGAATTTGCATCTTTTCAGTATAATAATGAGAAATTTTACCAATAGTATATACAGTACTTGAATTACTGTTCTGTGAAAAATAGAGAATAAATATTTTTCCTGTAAAATTATTCACTACTAAAAATCATAGTAGCTAAATTGGCACACTAGTTTTAAAAACATTCTCACTAGAAGAAAAACTAATGTATTTCCTCACATTCAAACACATTTTAATATTTGTGTAATTTTGATACTTCTTATAAACATAACAGTAAATTTATTTTCCTTAATAATATGTAGTTATTTAAATTCTCTGGAATATGTAAAACTGTATAAAGCTAGACATTAAGACATTATGAGGGAATCCTTTAATCCCAGCACTTGAGTCAGAGTCAGGTAGATCTCTTTGTGTATGAGGTCAGTCTTGTCTATGTAACAATTTCTAGGCCAGCCAAATCTACATGTTACCTTTGTAGTCAAAATTATTAATTAATTAATTAAAAGCTGAAATTCTTATATTTTCAAACTAAAGTCAGATGCAAATATTTCCAACTAGTAAATTATATTGACAAAATATATTACATACAAATATGAAGCATTTAAATCTTTTTTAAAAAGAATCACTTTTCAGCTGTCATATTTTATTATTCTATTAATTCTGTACATCCACATGTTTTACTAATGTAGGAGAAATGGATGGTTAATTCTTGCTAAATTATTAAAAATTTGGCCTTCCAAACATGTCATTTCATTTTAAGATGAAGAGCTAATGATTTACACCCACTTTGTGTGCGTGTGTATGGGTGTGTATGTGTGTGTGTGTGTGTGTGTGTATGAATTAATCCTGGTAAGAAGTCTCTATATTGTTGATGAAAAGCTTGTTTCCCCCATTTATGTGTTCCATACTATCCATACTATTTGCCACAATAGGGTTTTCTTGTATTTCCCCACACATTAGATGTCCTGTTTTAGTCCAATAACCATTTTTTAGAATAGAAAGCTCATCCAGGCTTCTTCCAGCCTTTGGTCATCCCTGAACTCCAATACACCCTTGTTTGAGATGACCTTGACAGTTTGGAGGAACAGTGGTCAAGTATTTACAGACTGTTCCTAATTATGCTATAAACTTTGGGGAGAGATTTTTTTGTACTCTCTACACTACTGTAAATACGAAGAAGCCATGGAGGAGCTGTGATTAGTTGCTCTTGTATAACATAAATGCATGTGACAAAAAGAGATTCCAATGGAGGTCTGAAAGGCTCTTTTCACATGTAGAATTTTAGCTTGCCGTTAAAAACCTTCATAAAATTGGAAGTCAAATGGATAGAATTGAAAATATCATTCTGAGTGTGGTAACTCAGTCACAAAAGAACACACATGATATGTACTCACTAATAAGTGGATATTAGCCAAAAAAGCTCGGAACGCCCATGATATAACTCACAGACCATATGAAGCACCAAGAATAAGGAAGACCAATGTGTGGATGCTTCAGTTCTACTTAGAAGGGGGAACAAAATAATCCTGGAGAGGGGAGGGAGGGAGGGAGGGAGGGAGGGAGGGAGGGAGGGAGGGATCTCAGAAGGAGAGGGGAGGGGGTTGGTAAGGAAGACAGGATCGATGTGGGAGAAGACAGGGTGGGGAGGAGTACAGAGGGTCAGGAAATTAAATGGAGGTGTGCAGCAGTGGGGGATGGGGAACTACGATAGCCACTAGCAAGTCTTGGATATCAGGAAAGCAAGAGGCTCCCAGGACCGAACAGGGATGGCATTAGCTGAAATACCCAACAAAGGGGAGACAGAACCTGTAAAGACCATATCCAGAGGTTAGGCATGGCCCAGGTTGAGGGGTGGGGCCACTCACCCATCTCAAAAATACTAACCCAGAATTGTTCCTGTCTGAAGGAAATGCAGAGACAAAGAGTGGAGCAGAGACTGAAGGACAGGCCATCTACCTAGGGCCCCATCCCATCTGCACACACCAAACACGGATACTATTACTGATGATGAAGCACTTGCTGACAGGAGCCTGGTATAAATGTCCCCTAAGAAACTCTGCCAGAGCCTGACCAATATAGATGTGGATGCTCGCTGCCAACCATCAGAATGAGCATGGGGACCCCAAAGGAGGAGTTAGGGGAAGGACTGAAGGAGCTGAAGGGGTTTGCAACCCCATAGGAAGAACAACAATACCAATCAACCAGACCCCCCCAGAGCTCCCAGGGACTAAACCACCAACCAAAGAGTACACATGGAGGGACTCATGGCTCCAGCTGCATATATAGCTGCCTTATCTGGCATCAATGGGAAAGAAACCTGTTGGTCCTGTGGTATTGTGGGACATCTAGGAGTGACAAGAGTCTGCAACAGTCACTCTGGGATACAGGTGATAGGTATAAACTCAGCAAATGCTGAACTAGTGATATCCAGTGGTGTCCAAACTCATCAGCTCTAGAGGTCAGTGCTGTTGCTACAAGTATGGCTTAATATCTTAGTCTACACCTGCTCTTTTGCTTCCCCTTTGGAATTTCCATAGCTGACTATATTTCTTCTTATAGTATGTGGGCTAACATATACCTACTACCACTTGAGAAAAAAAAATCTTCTTTAGGCCAGTTTATTCAGACTGTGGCAAGGGCACCCTCTGCCTGCTTTTCATTAACTGGTTTGCAGAACACAATGCTCTCCCACTATGCACATACCTCAGGTAGTATTTCCAGAGATTCACCTTAGCTGTGAGCCTCAACCAGGGTCCTCAGACTCCCCCAGAGACCTAAACACTTAACAAGAGAGAAGACTGTGACATTTTTTTTAGGAAGAGCCTAAAAATAGGTTTCTCAGCAGTTATTGGGCTGCTTAATGGGTGGTGTTTATGAACGTTTAGAGTGTGCCTATTTAACCTTCCACCTTTTATGCTTGAAGAAACTGACATACAGACTCAGAAAGCTGCTATGGTCACATACAGAAAGATCAGAGAAGCTAGCTACTTGTGCTTCAAAACTGCTGACCTACAATTTTATTCTTGCTTGTAGTGTATACAGATAAGGTATATAAGATGGTTTTAGTGAATAATTTAGTGGAAAAAGTTTTCTAAATGTTTTACCATCACTTTTAGTTGTTTTTTTTTTTTTTTTTTTAAAAAAAAGGACAACTAGCTCTAACGGACCTGTGATTTAGCAGATATTATTGCTCAAGATTTAAAATGTGTATCTGGGAAACGGCCAGCTCTATAAAAATATTAAGATAACTAGATGGTACAGCTCTCTTGAACAGTGCTAAACCTCACTGTTTTCTACTACTTAGTGGACAGCTCCAGCTTCAGGACTCATCTGCGTAGAATTTTTTCTTCAAGATTATCAGGTAAGTGAACCTGTATAGTTTGAGGAAGTGTTAATAATGATATAAGGATTGTCAGAGTGGACTCTTAGACGTCTTCTAGGATAAGTATTCTAGAATCTAAAACCTCAATAAAAGGCAAAATATTAAACACAGGAATCTCAGAAAAAACGTTACGTGGAAGCTCAAATCCTCTTAGATCATAAGGAATCTTATTGTGAATGCCAGGACCTGTTAGAACCAGTCTCCTGTGATATTTCTTTGGTTCTTCAAACCAATCCTGTTAATATAGCTGTATAAACTCTAAGTGCGCTGCTTCCTGCTAGCTTATGTACTTTAAAGGCACTCTTTTGCTTCGATGGATATGCCAACATTCACAGAGCTTTTCTTCTAGAAACAAGGCTAACATGTATTTCATTTACAATGTTCTAACAATCAGGGGCAATTTCATTTCCATTCCCCATTGCAACTTACCTGTCTATAGAGATCGCTCCACACTTAACCAATAGGGCCTAAGTAGGATTACCCTTTAGCTTATATTTAAGTAATTATCATATTCTGCTAAAACTATACATGCTCTGTTCATCTTACTTCCTATGGAAGGAGCTTCCTAATGCAGAAATATCACTCTGAGTTCCACAATGGATCTGCTCAGCCTATTTCTGAAACGTGTCTGCAGTGCAGGAACCTTAGCTAACACGCCAAGGATCACTCTTTCTAGGACCCAAGTATTAAAAGTCATGTATTAACTCATTTAATCCTTTCAAACTCCGAGAAACAGGTTATTTTCCTGTTTTAAAGATGTGAGGATAACATGGCTGTGGTCAGGTCACACACTGACTGGAGACCTTTCCACTGTATTTCCCCCATGTTCAATTGAATCTGCTCACTGTTCATGTGCTGGGTCTACAGTCTGTATGTATGCTTATATTCTCAGCACTTCACAAAAAAATACACCCCATGAAAACAAAGGTGTACTTCTCAAGCTTTACAGTGTTACATAAACGCCTATGAGTTTACTAATAAGTTCTGACACCCTTTAAAAAATAAAGATGACAGGTAATAAAGCTTACCTTTTAATTTTTCTAAATTCAATTCTTTAGGAAATTAAAATTTGTAAAAAAAAAAAAAAAAAAAAAAGGCTGGTTTCCTTTCCACACAAGTAATGAACTTCTGTCAGGTAGAATAAGGCTGACGTCTCATGCCTTTCTCTTGAAGTTACATTTTCTTCACTATACTCACAAATGGTCAATCTTAATAGCTGGCTGCCCAAACATTGCCAGAAAGCAATGCTGTTTCCAAGGCTTTACACTCCTGTTATCCAGTTCAACAGAGTCATAGCAAAATCCTTCAAGCACAATCTTTGCTGAACTCTCTTAAGAGTCTCACCAACAGAAATATAAACTCATCCTCAATATTTTTTACTTTACAAACTGATATTCAGAAAAAGTCATCAAAATTCAATTTAAGTAAGATTTATTGAGTGCCCACAGTGTGCATTGCCCATTAATAGACATGTTGATATCCAGTATACAACATATTCCAACCTCTGATATATTATGATCTAATTAGTATAACACAGTTTAGAGACTGACAAATGAATTCCAAGTCATTGCTCAATCAGAGCCAACATTAAAGAGCTGTAATTTAAGTAATCCAAAACAGCATCTAATCCTAAAGTCTTCTGTAATGTTTATTTGGCTTTAGGTAAATTCCATTGGAGACAAAAGTCACAAAGATGAAAATACATAGCAACAGAAGGGAGTACTATAGATGACTTTTATTTTGTATTCTCTGTTTTCTTCTTATAATGGTCCGAAGCCTCCGCAATACCAGCTTATCAGAGAGTAGCATGTCATCTTGCTGTTCTAGATAATCCAGCAAATTTTCAGTCCATTCAAGTGCAGCTTTATGGCTAATATGCTTCTCTGGATTCAGTTCTGCCTTCCTAGTCTTCCTAGAAGGCTTTTTTTCCTCAGCAACCTTCGCCCGGTCTGCAGCACCTACAATGTCAGCTAATACCTGACAGTTTGAGCCACTACTCCGAGAGCCAAACCACTGCTCAATATTTTCAATGTTGACATGTTCACAGTCTTCGGTATTCTGTAAAACTGTTGCTAAATTAGCTGCTAAAATGGCTCCTTCGTCAATGCTCACACTTGGATTTTCCTCATTGCCAGGGAAAAGTTTTTTCCATGCTCTGATTATCGTATTCGATCTTATCTGGTTCCAGGCTCTTGATGCCTCATAAATTGCATCCAACACTGTCAAATTCTTCCAAAACGTTTTTGGGTCATTTCCTTCATCCATGTATTTCTGGATAAGTCCTGCTCGGTAATATCTTTTGACTGTGGTAAGAACTCCTTGGCTCATAGGTTGAATTAGACTTGTGACGTTTGGTGGCAAATATTTCACAATTATTCTGCCATCGTCTGAGCTCAGCAATTCTTCAGCTGGATGTGCTGCAGGAAAATCTAACAGTAGTACTGCTTTTTCTCGAAGCCCTTTGGATTTCAGATGCTTCTGGACCTGTGGCACAAAGCACTTCTCAAACCACTGTTTGAGAACAGACGGCTCGATCCATGCACTTTTTTGACTGAAGTACGTGACAGGAAGGTTTGAAAGGTCAGTTCCTTTGAATGCACGGGGTCTTTTTGCTTTCCCCACAACACAAAGATTAAGCTTGTGTAAACCTGTGGCATTTGCGCAACACATAATAATGATTCTTTCTCTGCTTGTCCTATACTCACAAGTACTCTGGTCAGTGTCAAAACCCAATGTCCTTGTTGGTAGACATTTCCAGAACAATCCAGTTTGGTCAGCACCATAAATTTGTTCTGGTAGGAGATTTTCTCTTTCTACAAATTCCTGAAAGTTACCACAAAATTCACTGGCAGCAGTTTCATCCCCTTTTAATTTTGTGCCTTTACCAGCAGCTTTTGGAATACCATGCCGCTGCTTAAACCTAGTAAGCCAACCAGAAGAGGCATTAAAATCACCTTCCATACCCAACGCATCGAAGAAGAACCTAGCCTGTTTTGCACAAATAGTCCCAGACACTGGAATCCCATCTGTTTTCTGTTGATTAAACCATTCTATCATAACTCTGTCAAGCTCCTCATATGTTGACGACTTCATCGATTTACGTTTGGACACCCCACTAGTAGGATCTGAACTGTTGGCATAGTTTATAATTCTTTCTTTGTTTTTTTTAATGTCACGAACTGTGGATTCACCAATTCCATACAGGACAGAAAGTTTTTTGAAGGAGTTGCCTTCTTCCAGCTTCTTAATAATGTCAAGTTTGTCTTTAATTGTCAATACCACACGTTTACGTTTCCCCAACATTTTAGTCTAATTATGTTAGACAATTCACAACTTAGATTTGAACACGAGACCAGAAAATGTAAGCTTAAGAGTCCTCAGCTGTTCCCTAGGACTTGGATAGTATAACAATTTTCAAAGAAAGTCTGAGTTTTCTCGTTTGCATTTTAGAACTTAACCTGTTCCTATGACAAGGAATAGCTCAGTTAACTCTAGTTTCTCTTCTTCCTCCTTGCTCTTTTCATAAATTGCAGCCTTACTGAAAGCTCTAAGTTGAATCAATACTGCCCTATCGAGGTTTCTAAAACATTTTCATGATGATCAACTTTGGTCATTACCACAGGAATTTTTTTTTTCCTTATGCTATGTTCAAGAAAACAGTTTTACTCCAGCTTGCACACTTAACAGGCAGAAAAACAGAGCAGGAAGCCTCACTGCCTGACTGTTGTTGTCTTTGTTAGACAGCCAAGTGAGTGAATGCTCTCTTCAAGGCAAGGACTCTTGGTGTGTACCTATGAAAGTCACAGGGAGCAGCGGTGAGCATAGGTGAGCTGTTGGAGTGTAAGTGGACAGGCAAACAACTTAGTACTGTAAACCAACAAGAACTTATAATGGAGTAGGCAACTGAAAGGGAAACAGCGGACAAGAAGTGATGTCACATGATTCAAGAAAGGATAAAAAACTTCATTGGTGGAAATCAGGACCCAAGGCTGTAACTAGGGGGTGGTAGGCTGGGTGAAGACCGTACAGTAATCCTGGTGGAAGATGATCTCCATGACCACAGAAGTAGCTGCAGGGGCGGTAGAGGTACTCGAGCCTTTGAAACCTATAGGAAAATACCAAACACGTTTCCTTTTCAGTATCAGTGCACGGTATTACTCATACCTACTCCTTCAACTGGGTCTAGGACATCGCTACCTATCAACATGACAGGTAATAGATAAATAACGCTCGCAGGCACCACCCGGGAGCTGTGAGCCTACCTCCTGACACTACCAGGGCCTCTCCCCGCCGGCCAGCAAGCTCCGAGCCGGACGCTGGGTGAAAGTCGGAGGCAGGGGGTCACGGCCGCAGCCTTGCAGCGGGCGAATGGTCACCGGGCGCGCGGGACGCCGGGAGGTGGGGCGCGGGCATCGCTTTGCCTGACCGGCCAGAACGCAGAGCCAGCAATGGAAGTCCCCAGCGAAGCGGACCCCGCAGCCGCCGCAGAGCGAGCGCGCAACGGAGCGGCGCCGCCGAGCCGGAAGGCAAGGGATTAGGCGCGCGCGCGCCCCCGCAGGAACGTGTTGTCGGCGAGTGGGCGGGGATGCGCGGGCGAGCCCGCTGAGGGCGTGGCTTCTGGGGAGGGGCGGGACTTGGTCAATGCTCCGCCTCCGGACACCCCGCGTGTGGCTCAAGGCTGAGGCCAGCAGAGGGCGACGCAGGGTCGTTCCAGATGGCCCGACTTTGCAGACCAGGCAGGAATAGCAACTGAAAGGTTTTCCTTCAGGTAAGGTCCAGGGAGTGCACAGAGCCTGTTTACCATCTTCTGCGGTTGCGGCGACACAGAGCTGGGTAGCAGGGGCGAGCCAGCATGAGGACGCAGAGGATGTTAATGCTGAAGCAGGAATGTAAGGATCACCCCCTGCTGTGTGTTCAGTCCCAGCGCAGACCCCCTCTCTAGCATAATCGGTTTTGGAGTGTTGTTTTTAAATCCTTCTTCCACAAACTACAACCTGATTTGGAGTATTCTAACTTCTGTTTCTCAAGACAGAAGGGTTCCCCCCACCCTCCCCTCACACACCTAGAATTCTAGCACCAGGAAAGGGAAATCAAAGTGAGCATTCACTCTGCAGAGAAGGAATGTTGATTCCAGGCCCCTTTCTGTCTCCCAAGCCATATCTGTGCTGCTGTCCTCAGAGTCCCACCCTTCCATATCGGGCCTGTTGGATAGAAACCCTTTGATCTTTGATCTATCAGTGCTGTCAGATGGATGACTCTGGGCAAGGCCTAGTTTTGCCTGAAGGTAGACTGCCCACAACTCTCACCTGCTTCAAGCTTCCGAGGAAGCGATCTGAGCAGTTCTAAATGACCATTTCTAGTAAAGTACAATTTCATTTATATTGCTTTTAAAAAGTTTTCTTCTCCCTTCTCGTTCTTAAAGTGTGTGTAAAAACACTTGCACCTGTTCATTCCTTAACAGAGGAGAGCTAGCTTTCACAGACTGCCAATCTCGTGGAAATCACACTGTACTTAGCAAAATGGAAGCTTGCCTGGCTTTCCCTCTCCTCTTCCAGCCTCCTGGGGTCACTGTGGCCTATGATATTTAAGAAGAAAAAAATCCCTGCCTCGCTTGCCCTCCCACTTTCTGGAAGCTAATTTCCTTCCACATAATGAGGTTGGTGAGTGTTTATTTTTATAGCTGTGCTGTGTCACTCAAAACAATTCTATTTAACATGGCTTTACCAACATTTTAAGGTAGCTTTACAAGGTTTAGTTATTTCTGGTGTCTCTCCTTTTGGTCTGTGGTTGTGGAGGTATGATATGTTGTGAATTGTGGCAGATTCAGTATTTAAAGCACTAAGTAAAATGTGTGTTTCTGTAATTGTGCATGTGACATACATTTGTCTAATCATGTAGAAGGCACACTATCAAGAGTGAAGTTTCAGGTCAGCTATGGATAGGAGGTAATGGGAGGCTCACAGTTGTGACAGGTTGTACCACTCTGGTGTGGGTGTTGATAATGGGGCAGCCGCATGTAGATGGGAAATCTGTCTTGTATTCAGTTTTGCTGTGAACCTAAAATTGTTCAAAAAAAAAAAAGTAGTCTGGTTCAGTTGAGTGTGGTGCTAGACACTTGTGGTTCGTCTTAGTTACTCGGGTTCAGTTGACTGTGGTGCTAGACACTTGTGGTTAGTCTTAGTTACTCGGGTTCAGTTGAGTGTGGTGCTAGACACTTGTGGTTCGTCTTAGTTACTCCGGACATTTGGGGCAGGATGACTGATTGAGCTCCGAAGTTTGGGGCCAGCCTGAGGAACTCTGGGAGTATTGTCTGCAACAAAGAAACATTAAATGTGGTTTTACAAAGAGATAGTTAGAAAGATGCTCTTGCCTGGCATGCTTAGGACCCTGGGCTCTGCCTCCCAGCACTGCGTCTATCTTCTCATTTCCCAAGTCTCAGATCTCTTTCCTGTTCTTGCAAATGCTTTGGGAAGCATCAGACATTTTTTTCTTTATTATTGGAGTAATTGTGTACTCAGTCTTTTAAAAAATAGTCCTAAAACTTATTGTAACTTATCTTGTAATCAGAAGATATAAATCATGGCATACATATACACCCATATCTCAACATCCAGAAGATAAGAGGACCAGGAATTCCAGTCTATGCTACTAACAAGTTTCAGGTCAGCCTGGGATGCATAATGGGACCCTGTCTCAAACAAATAATAAACAAATAAATAGGCTTTTTGTCTATCATTATTATTTTTTCCTTCTTGAATATATACTATCTTAACCCATTAAACACTTTGTGAGATAGCTGTGACCTCTGTTGGTATGAGGGGAAAAGGCTAATTTAGTGTGTGTAGTTAAGATTTTAATAAATCTCAGCACAGGGTTACCACCTGTCTCAATGGTTTATGTTCCTGAAGGAAAGACACACAGCCTTATATTTTAATATGCCTTAGACAGCACAATAGCTGGTCAACATCTTAACCTCCATGCTATTAGAATCTGCTTTCCTACCAATAACTCTGAGTTACTACTTACTAATTTCTCTGTTCCCTCTTGGCCGCTCTTGACCCAACTGAGCATCCCTCTGGGTCATATTCTCTTGGCCCTTTTACATGGTGGCACTTCTTCCTCCTGCAAATTCTTGTTCTTCCATGGTGGCTCTCTCTTTCTCCCTCCTTCATCAAGGTTTCAATCCTGGGAAACCTAAACCCTGCCTATGTCTCTGCCCCCCAAGCTATTGCCTGCTGGTATCTATATTTACCAATCAGAATTAATTAGAGGCAGGGTTGCTCCGGGTCTTAATTCAGACTCTCTTGTGGAAACAGTTTTGGGGGAATCCAAATTAGCATTTGAATACTAGCAGCATTACACCAACCTACTACAAGTATGTAAATCTATTAAATATCATGGACAGAAAGAAAAGTTGGACCTACATCACTCTGGCTTTAAAACAGGGTGCTCTGCCTACATTACAAACTATCAAATGGAAATTCTCAACTCAAAGACATAAAAAGTAGAAAAATATATACTGGGATAATTTTTACTTGAATATTTAAATGTCTTTTACTTATTCAAAATATTTTACATCAGCCAAGCAATGGTTTTCTAGGCATAAGAACACTATATTAAGTAACACCAGACATTGAACACAGTTCATTTAAACGGGACATTCTGAAAACACTCCAAGCAGCTGCTGGCATGTCCTCACAATAATCTCTGATTCATTTTCTACTGAGCTCATATCTATGGACCTGTTATGTGTTTTTCTTCACACATAGTAGTTTTGTAATAGAGTGTGATACCTCTAGGAACCTAAGTTCTGAATTTTAAGGGTTCTCCTTTGTTGTTGTTTTAGGTTGCTTTTCTTTTATTGGTGATCCTAATTCACTAAGAAATTTTTCTCCTGATAATAAATTAGTTACTTGAACAAACATAAAATGAGATCATGAAATTTTTTATCATGATATTATTATTCTGAATATTAAACCCGTATATTCACATAGCCACTACCAATTGAAAATTGACAATTTCTACAGAATCAAATTCCTGTTTCCTGCTTTCAGTTTAAAAATGGTCAAGGGACTTTTCCAGCTGAAGGATAATTTGGCTTTATTCTGGATTTGTGTTTTTACACAAACAGAATATGGAAATTTCTCATCAGTAAAATTAAAGTTTGCTTTTTGAAGTTCCTATTGTTGCTAAAGTTATTTTAGTGGAACTTTTGACCCATTCTTTGGCCTCTTAGGAAGCTATAACTAGGTTTAGTTAATCACAAATTTTATTTATTTAACCAATCAAGGGCTCATAATGAATCTTCCATCAAATCTCCTAATGGAAGTTCTAACGGGGTTTGGTTTCGCTCTGAGTTAGTGAATATATGGACATATGAGAAGTTCACTCTTTACTATCTTCCTTGCCCTGTTCTTGCCCAATTGTTGTTCTAAACTTGTATCCTTTATAACAAGCCAGTCATTGTGAATATACTGTTCTTATGAGTTATGTGAGCTGAGCCATTACAGTGAATTACCAAGCCCCAAATAGAGACGCCCAGGACTTGTGATTAGCATCTGTAGTAAAGTCAGTGCTGTGAAACTGAGCCCTTAAATTCTGGGATTTGACATGAACTCAGATAGAGCCATTTGAGAGCACTGGACCATGGACCACTCATCGAGGATTGGAGAATTGTTTGCATGGAGGGAAAACAGCAGCAACATGCATTTAGTGTCAGGACTGTTATGTAACTAGAGACAGATTATAGACAGCACCAATTCATGCCTTCTCACTATTTCTGAAAGCTATAAAAACATCTTACTTTTATTGTGGCTATATTATATTACATAAAAGGAAGGACACCTAACTCCATGATTGTAATGGCCACAGTGGCCTGTCACTCAAAACCCAATGTCAGATTATGTGCTAAGAAACCAACAGGCAGAGAAATCTGTCCTCAGAGCATTAGCTCAGCGTGTTTCCCATTGGTTGATATGGGACCACTCTAACTGCCATCTGTCTCTCCTTCTCTCCATCAGTCTAGACCTGGCCCTGGCCCTGTGCTTCACCTGGATTCTACTTGACAGCTTCACTCTGCACTGGGCTCTGTAGCTATGCTCTACAGCTCAGTTCTATATGACCAAAATCTCTCCACCTGGGTTCCTTAAAAATCTTCTGTAACCAACTTTATTGATTCTCTTCATCTGTGTCAGCTGTCATTGCCTTCAGTAAAGCCTCTTTGAGATGTGTCATTTCCTTTATCCTTCAGAGTCACTCTATGTGACAAACAAGCAAACAGGAGAAAAGGAGAAAAGGAGCTAAACAGCATCACTCATCAGTCTCTGCTCAGACTCAGTGTGAGCAGCTGCTTCTCACTCCTGCTGCCGTGCCCCAGCACTGCAGAGGACTGCACACCCTCA